GAAAAAGAGAGAGATTGTGTGAACAAATGATGTCTCACCATCATTCTTGTTGGTTTAGACGTCTAAGTGTGGATCCCTCAAGATTTTGTCTCTTTGATGGGTACTGAGTACTTCACAGATTTGGAATCTGCTGGTTCATTTTTTGTTGCTGGTAGGTGTTCCCAGGCCAGCCCTTGACTCTTCCTAACCCTAGGCACAACAGTGTGGTCCCTGCAGAGATGCTTGGTTCCATATGCTAATTTTGGATCAATATTGACTAATTGTTGGGAGTTAGTCCCAGGCCTTTCTTTCTAGTCCATCTTTGTCTGGAAGCTCTCCCCCAAAACCTGTTCAGCATTATAGCAACAAACATGCAATGCTCCCCTGACAGATGGGCGATGACCCACAGTGCACCGGCCAAGAATCAAACTCAGACTTTTTGATGGAAGGTGAGAATTCTACCAATGAGTCCCCACTGCCCCTTTGCTAATACTGTCTCACCATGGGTCAGTCGTGGAAACATAAATTTGTCACATAGTGCATGACCTTTCAGAGAAGTTTGTTCAATAAGGAGAGGATCAGAAAAATTAGCCTGACTTATTCAGGTATGGATTATCTGATATGGTTATTAAATCATTACTGGGCTGTGTAATAGATGCTGTTTCAAATTATGCATCACTTTGAACAAACTTTATTGAAGCCTTTACTGCATTAGCCTTAATCACTCACAATAATTATGCAGCACTTCCCTGAATTGGACTGTCTGTGTGGTACACCCCTATCCGGTGGATCAATAACTATTGAGCAATCTGATCGCAGAGGCTGAACTGTTTGAACACTGGAGGCAGCCACTGCCATCTCTGCACCCCGGGAGTTTACGGTTGACAGGTTCTGGGTCCTGCCAACTTCTTCAGTGGCTCCTCCCTGGCCCCGGTCTACAGATCAATAGCTTCATTGTCGACATCTCTCTTAGACTCTCAGAAGCTAAAACATGCCTGAAACAATAAGAAATTTGGAGTCCCTGGTACACACACAGGGACCCTGGTAGTGCTGTGAGTTAGGCGTTGGGCCGCCAACTGCAAGGTCTGTGATTCAATAGCGCCTGCTGCTCTGCAGTAGGACAAGGCTGTCTCTTGGAAACCTTCCTGGTACAGGGTTGCCTTGAGTTAGAATTGACTTGATGGTAGTTGGCTTTGTTGTTCATACAAACATAAGGACACATGCTGGGGCAGTAGTTAAGCACGTGATTGCCAACCCAGACGCCAGCTACTCCGTGAGAGAAAAATACAGCAGTCAGCTCTTACAAAGCTCTTGGCTAGGGAAACCCTGTAGGGCAATTCCATTCCTTTTCATAAGATCCCTAGGAGTTAAAATCAACTTCATGACAACAGTTTGGCACAGGCGCACACACACACACACACACACACACACACACACACACGCACACATACACACTCATATACACACACAAACACACTCACTCATACACACACATAGACACACACACATGAAGTCTCACACACATACGCACAGACTCACACACACATTCACAATAACACTCATACACACACTCACACACACTTGAGCTATAAATGACATATTTTTAAACCTTCGACCCACGTGCACTTCTTCCACACTGCAATGTTTATATAACCAGGTGGAAAACGATTGCTCTCACTCTATTTTTTTTTTCTGTTTATATCAAAAGATCATCTGTTTGAAATAGTACTGTTATGACTGATTAGTTATTTGGCAAGAATTTATTGAAAGTCTACCATGTTTTTCTCCACTGCTCTCCACTTGATGGTTTGGGTGGTTCCAGGATTGAGTTTGCTTTGCTTGGTCACCTCTGACCTTGTGTAAAATGGCGTGAATGCTCAGCTACTGCTCTTCAATCATTCACTTCACTCAGTGATGATTTATTGAGCATCTACCACCCTAGAGGTAAGGATAAGAACTGCACTAGGTACTTGAGTATTCCTTTCTTCTTTAAATGAAAGAACATCCTAAGTAAGTTTCTTTTTCTCCCGAAGAGGGATTTCTTAAGTTTCTTTTTTAAGCTGCTTCATTTGGCTTTTCTGGATCAGAAAGACCAGAAAGGATTCCCCACAGGCTGAAAGCTTAGCCTCAGGCCGGAAGGAAATGCATTGCCTATTTTACCATGGAACATGAACAAGACTCGAAAGAGAGTAAAAACAAGCAAGTTGTTGAATCAGAAATATAGGCAGCAATTGCCCAAGCACTCAGTTAAGTGAAATCAAGCCAGAAACTTTTTATTAAACTACCTTTTCTCAAAGCAGAAGGGCATGGGCGGCACTGCAAGGTAAGGTTTGGTGTGCTAACCAGCGGGTTGTGGGGCAACCCTACCCACTACTCCTCTGGGGAAAGTGATGGCTCACTCTGCTTCCTAAAAGATTTCGTCGCAGGACCTCTAGTTCAGGTCATGATGAGTCAGCATTGATTTGATGGCGGAGAGGTCTTTATACACGTACAAAGCTTTTTAGAAATAAGAATAGTGAACTGCCACTTACTTTAGACACATCATCAGGAAAGATACATTGCTGGGAAAGGAGATTGTGTTTGATAATGTGGCAAGTAAGAAAGCATCAAAAAGATGGCCTGACAGAATAGCTCTAACAGTGACCTCAAATATAGGCAGCGCGACACAAGGAAATGTTTCCTTCGGTTATGTAGAGGGTCCTGTGAGTCGAATCCATTCAGTGCTGTTGGGTTACCAACAGCAACTTGGACGTGGTCTTTGGTTCAGGTTACCCAGACCACCGAATTCAGAGTCTCACAAACACTGTTTGCCAGCAGAAGTATGAGTTCATGTTGAAAACCCAAACGAATGCACTGCTGTTGGGTTGATGCCAACTCACAGTGATCCGATACTGGGTTTCCGAGACTGTACATCTCCATCAGAAGAGACAGCCTCTTGTTCCCCTGAGGGGCAGCCGGTGGGTTCTGAACCACAGAACCATTGATCCCTGCGCTCCATTATGTGTCCATGGTTAGGGAGGATGAAATCTGTCTTAGACAGCATGGCCCAAAGAGAGCACTCAAATTCCACTGGAAGTCAGGCGGTCCATCAGGAAATTCGGGTTTCAATTCATGTGAATGACCTCAGGCCGACCAGTTAGTCTCCGGGGGCATCAGTTTCTCCCCACGTGAAGTGAGGATGTTGGACGCATGCCCAGTGTGTGAGTTCTGAACTCTCTCAGGTTTGTGGGAAGCTGTTTATATGCGGAATGAAATTGTGGGACAGCCTGGCTTCCAGCACCTGGGGTAGATCTCTGGCCTGCTTCCCCCCCTACCCCTTCACCCCCAACACACAAACCAAAGTTCTGCTCAGCAGCTTGAGACCCGGAAATGGACCAAAGCTGTGAAATTCTCGTGAGGGTCTCACTTCAGTTCATCCAGAAACCAGACAGTCATGCCTGCATCCTGAAACAGGAGAGCCTCGGCTCAGCTCTGATTACCAGCGAGACTAGTTTAAAGTTTAATACCCACCTGTTTCTCTCGCCTGCTTGGCATATTTGTAAATTATTCACCGAATGCAATACAGGAGGGAAGCCCACATGAGCGCGCGATCCCAAGCACACGTTCTGTCACGCTGAACGGAAAGAGTGCAGGGAAGGAATATTGAGGACCACCTGTCTTTGGCTCCTGGGAAATATCTACGCTTGGCAACCAAAGGCGGAAGCACACAGGCTAATTTGTGAATGCATAAAGGGAGGCCTCCAGTGCTTACCCGACAAGGTCGAACAGGCAATAATCTGGTGTCGTGAAGAGCATGTCGTGGTCTGCATCTTCACTCCAGCCAAATGATGTCTTCCCTCAACCCCCTTCCAGGACTCTGCCACGTTGCTCCCTCTGCCTGCAATGTCGCCCCCAACTACACAGACAGACCTTGGGGTCACTTCTTCCACCGCGACTGTCCCTTCTCTAGCCTCCTTGTGTCCCATCACCATTTTACCTGGCTTTCTGATCAAAAGCTTGCAGTCCCCACCTGGAATGTGAATGCTGTGATGACTCTTTCTCAAATTTGAGAGATGAATCCTCAGAGCAAAATTCCCAAAAGTGCTGGAGAGAAAAAAACATTTCTAAGACAAGGTAAAGGATCGTCCCAGAAACATGGGCTTTGGGATCAAAGAAGAGCCTACCTCTCCTCCTCCTGGAGTCTCTCACAGGCTCTGAAAAAGTCCTGTAGGAAAGCAGCAAGTTGAACTCCATTCCCTGCACTGACATACCCACTGAGGCGCCCCCTGTCCCCCTACAAACTGTGGAAACCAACTGGAAAAGGGTCACTGAAAATATTTTTGGGTTGTTATTTCAATAAGGCTCAGTTTCCATGCAGGAGGTGGGTGAAGAGGCAGGTTGCGTTCCTTGTCAAATCCCCCCTTGAATTAGAAGATGAATTTGGACTGATTATCAATAATGAGTCTCTTCATGGACTTCCAATCATAACACCCAAAAAACCCAAACTCACTACCAAGGAACTGATGCAGCCTCACAGTGACTCTATGCGACAGGGTAGAACCACCTGTGCGTTTCTGAGACTGTAACTGTTTCCTGGAGTAGAACTCCCCATCTTTCTCCTGCCGAGTGGCTGGTGGTTTTACAGTGCTAACCTCGCAGATCGCAGCCCAAACACGCAACCATTATTCCACCAGGGCTCTTATAACGTAATACATGCACTTTAAACGTGCGGTGATATGCTGAACATTTACAGAGGTGATAATTCCACAAAGGTGATAACGCCACCATTCTGTGGGCTGGGAAGATGACGCAAGTAGGGCACAGTAATGAACGTGAACACAGCGATGGCTGTGACGGCGGCACAGGACCTGGCAACCAGAAGGTCACCTTGAGGGAGTCAGCCCATGGTCACTGACGAAAACTGAGACTGCACATCAGCGAAGGAGGGGACCGTGACCTGCATTTGGCAAGAACATTCTCAGGGGCCCTTCTTCATGCCCACCTCCAGCGCGGAGAACCCAAAGCATCTGGGAAGTGCTCACCTGCGTCTGAAGTTGCTGCAGATGCAGCCAGGAGCGATAACACTGGGCTGGGCGCAAGGGCAACGCTGTCCACTGTGGCCGGCTTCTTCCTGGTCATCACCGTGGACATGGAGCCCTCGTTCTTACTATGCACTGAGGGCTGGTCCACTTTTAAGTGGGGACTTGGCATCCCTGGGTGGAAAAAAACAAAAAAACAAGAAACACTTTCGGTTACTTGAATGGAACAGGAAATCAAACAATATAAAAACGGAAAGTGATGTCAGGAGATAGTGCAACGATTTGACCTCCTTCTGGCACAATGAGATTGAAATTTTAGAACTTTCAAACCCAAACAACAAAGAAGTGGCATGACAGGTTTGGGTGAGGAGCTGCACTGCCCCTGGCAGGTTGCCCAGAAGGGGCCCTGGGCCTGATACAGCCGGAGAAAGGATCAGTCACACCCTGGCCAGCGTGAGTCCATGAGGCTGCCTTATGTGGGACAGGAAGTGGGTCAGGGCACAGGAGTAGCCTCCCCACAAAAGGTTCCCACCTTTCTTTTGCACGGCTTCTCGTCTCATTCAGATCACACGAAAGGGGGTATCAGAACTGGGCATGATCCATGCTATGTGGTTGCGGAGCCTGAAGATGTCAACCTTAGTATGGAAAAGGGGAGGGGAGGCCCCAAGGGTCTCCAGCTGGAATGGCCACGACCCTAAGGGCGGTGCTCTTAGAGGTGAGAGGTTCCCAAACAAGTCTTGGGTGGAGAATGAATAAGCTCCAGGCAAAGTACCAGCCTACGGGAGGTGGGAGGACATGTTGGAGACCAGTGGGCCACAATGGCCCTACTGGTGCAATGTGTTCAAGACTGAACAAGCTAATCAAAAGGTCAGCAGTTCAAAGCCACCCGTTGCTCCATGGGAGAAAGATGAGGTTGTCCACTCCTTAGAAACCCCGGGGAACACTTGCACTCTCTCCTAATAACCAACTATAAGGCTGTTCTTGAACCTTGTTCCTGGGCTAGCTTCCAGGCACCACTGCTTTCCAGCTGTGTGACCATGAGCAAGTGACTTAACCTCTCCAAGTGTTCAGTGCCCCTCACTGTCAGAAAGGTGCAGTCACAGCACTGCTTCCTATGGGTAACTGTGAGCATCCACTGAGTCAATACAAGTAACCTCTGGCCCAGAGTCCCTGCCATGAGCAGTTTACCATTATTGCTATTTCCATTAGGCCTACTCTTCCTGTTAAAACCTGTTACTTCTTCTGGTCTAGTGTACTGGTAGTCACCAGCCCAGTTGTCTTTCATGCACTAAACAAGACGAAGATTTGGGCACCTTTTATAAGGACAGATTTAGAATGTTCTGTGTCAGTCAAGCAGAGGGGCAGAGGCTGAGAATGTCTGAGCCCAAGTCAAATGGACATGGAGTCAAATGTATTCATTTAAAGCCTGCAATTCCCGTGAACCTAAGAGAAAAAAGGTCGAGCGGTGACAATAACATTTTGGTGCTCTATTGAAACAATTCTTGATTTTTTTGTATTCAGAACCACCTGAGGGGTACAGTCCTCTCCCAGAGCAGCAGTATCTCATCCCCACGGTGATTTCCGCTTCAGTGGGCCCTCACAGCAAACCCTTGATGTACACGGTGAACCGATATAAAGCATACTGTTGTTCTCCTAGTTTCAAACACAATCCCACTGTGGTTGAGTCCGTTCTAACTCGCAGGGGTCCAAGACAAGAGCGCAGTTCTGAGAGGGTAAGAGAGCATGTACTAAACTCATACGACTGGAGACTCAACCATGAAGTTCCCAAATAGCCAGGTGCAAAACACCCTTTCTTTTTCTTGCTCGGCAGGACTGTCTTGGGTATCGAGAGGCTGCTGACAGCATGTTGCCCACTAAGGCCACAGAGATCCACATACCACCCCTGGGAAAGGCAGTGTGTAACCACCTGCTGTGGATTGAACTGTGTCTCCCAAACAAACGTGCTGTAAATTTTGACCCCTAGTGCCATTGGTTCATATGTATCATATGAAGACCGAACAGTGAAGAAGGGAGGCCAACGAAGAACCGATGCATTTGAATTGTGGTGATGGACAAGAATATTGAAAGTCCCAGGGACTGCCAAAAGGACAAATGGATCTGTGTTGGAAGAAGTAAGGTCAGAGCGCTCCTTAGGGCAAGGTTGGCAAGATTTCATCTTATGTACGTTGGGCATATTGTCAGGTGAGAACAGTTCTCGGAGAAGGATCTCATGCTTGGGAAAGGGGAAGGGCAGTGAAGGACGGAAGGCCCTCAATGAGATGGATGGACACAGTGGCTGCATCAATGGGCTCAGGCACAGGGACAGTTATGACAATGGCACTGGAAGACCAGGCAGTGTTTAGTTCTGTTTTGTGCAGGGTGGCTCTGGGTTGCAGCCAGTCGATGGCACCTACGACCATACCTGCGGTCATACACCTGCTCCTCACTGAACAGCCTGTTCATGTCCAACATTTCCTATGTATGACAGCAGTAAAGCATCTACTCTCTATGTTGAGCATCAATGACATATTTCTGGTAGTAATGAATGTTGAGGTGCTGGCAAGAATAACACTGGCTGTGATCTTTCAGGCATGTGCCCACTTGGCTGGAATGTGATGCTTATAGAATAAATGGCGTGATTTGGCAGTTATGAAACTATATAGTCATTCTCTATTTTGTGAACTGATGTGGTTATCCTTCTTTTTTTGCATAATGTAGATTTTCACTTAGTGACCCGGTCTTTAGAAACTACCCATGCCACAAATCGAGTGTAGTCTTGTGTAATCTCATATGGGAATGAGTTTTCTTTTTATGCCAATAAGACAGTCTTGATGTAGGATGCATCCTAGGTCACTCTCTTTTGCGATATAAAAGAGATCAAACAAGCAAGTGAGAGCAGCTGTGATGTGGGAAGATGTATTTCAAACCACATGCAGATCGCCCAGGAAGCGAGGAACAAGGACCTTCCCTGAGGGTCCACAGAAAGAGAAAGCATGCCTCTGGAAAAGGCACCCTAAGTTCCAACTTCGAGAAAATGGATTTCTGTTTGTAAATTCTTGCGGTATTTCTGATATAGCAGTCCTAGATAAGTAAGATACCACTCACAGAAGAAAATTTTACCTGCATTTTCTAATACGCTCCATCCCAGAGCAGTGGTGACTCGGTGGTAGAATTCTTGTTTTCCATTTGGGAGATCTGGGTTTAATTTCTGCCCAAGGTACCTCAAGTGCAGCCACTTGCCTGTCAGTGGACGCTTACACCTTGCTGTGACTCTGAACAGGATTCAATAAAGGTTTCAGACTAAGATAGACGAGGAAGAAATGGCCGTTGATCTATTTCCAAAGAAGCAGCCAATGAAAACTCTAGGGCTCACAATGACTTATTCCCTCGAGTTGGGGGCTAAGTTGATGACAGCTAACAAGGACAACGACAACCTTCCATCACAGTCACAGGACGTCAGCTCGAGAGGCTGGGCACAAGAGTGCCAATTCCCCTCTTCTGAATTTTACATTTCATTCCATTTTGCAGGTGGAGAAAAAGACAACCAGCAAATTTCAAGGCCGAAAACAAGCCCACGAGGCCTATCAATCAAGACAGCGCCATGAAGAATGTGGGTCCTATGCCTCATTAGTGAGAAAAACAAGACAACAACAACAAAACACAACAGGTGTGACAGTGATCAGCGAGATACTGACATGGCATTATGTAAAATGCACTGTAAATCCCTGTAAAGAGGCACGCACAGCAGGTGCTCTGAGGATGGGGATCAGGAAGCTTGGTGAGGAAGAGGGAATTTCTGATTTATTTCCTAGCTTTCCCGTTAATGGAGATAAACAAAAACAAACCACAAAAACATATATTAGGTCGTTTTTGGTGCTGTTCATTGACTTGGCGCTGTCATAGGGAGCCTGTGTATGACAGAACTGCACATCACCCAGCCCCGTGCCATCTGCATGGTTTGTGCTGAGATTGAGACCATTGTTTCGGTCACTGTACCTCATCCATCTCACCGACTGCAGGTCTCCTTTGCCGCCCTTCCATGTTACCAACCATAATGTTTCCTTGAAGAGATTCGACTTTCCTGATGATGTGTCCAAAGGAAATGAGCCCAAGTCTTGCTTTCCATTGCTTCTAAGGAGCAGTTCAGTTGTATTTCTTCTAAGATTGGTTTATTAATTCTTCTGGCATTCTATGGTGTGTTTACCTTTTTTTTTTTTCACCAACTGCATGGGGAAAATTAACACTCTAGAACTCTATTAGAATATAGCACTGGGCCGGAAAGACTGATGTGCTTCAATGACTGGTTGCTAACCAGTTGAGTAATAAAGACAGGAGGCATGAGCCTGAGGAAATGTTCCCATTTCTGTTCTCTTTGTTTCCCCAGCAGTCTCCTAGTCCAGGAGGTGCCAGCAAACCTTTTTTTTGTCTCGCACCACTGAAATTCTGAGTTGTCACAGGCTTACCAGTAAGAGCTTCTATAGCAAAATTCACTGATCCAACCACTTTGCACCTGTGGACACAGGTTGGGTAGGTAGATCTTAGCTTAAGTGATTCCATGCTGAGAAACTGATGGCCATAAACAGGATTAGCAGGCAGATATTTACCTCTCACTTGGGAGCATGTGGATTTCAAGTCATTTGGTTGTACCCATTTTCATGCAAATGTTCAGAATCCAAATTAGTCTCAGTCCACCTAATTTCATTAAAGTTGATCAGATCATACCTCTATTGGGCATACTTTGTTACTCAAGTGTTTATGTTACAGAAAAGTAATAAAATGGCACTTAAAACACCCTATAATTCAGATTGTGACTATTTAGCTGTCTCAAAAATCCTAGGTAATTTAGGATTTTAAAGATTATAATACTGCTGGTTGGCTGTCATGCTACGAATGTGAAATAAATTGGGGTGAGGGGAGGAGAAAAGCTTTTTCTGAGGTACTCTTGGATTTTGAAAGGATTATATAAGCAAATATAATACAAATACAAATATAAGAAATATAAATGGACAAGAATAATAGGCAAGTGTTATGCCAACACACGATAGTAAGGTTTTGTGTCAACGTGGCTGGGCCAGGAGTCTACATGTTTCGACCAAGTGATCCTCCATGACATGCCCTGACATAATGTAATCAGCTCCATGATGGAATCTTCCATGAGCAGCCACGTAGTTGTG